GACAACTAAAAATATATAGAAAAAACTAGCCAGGCATGGTGGCACATGCTTGTAGTCCCAGCTACTCGGGAGGCTGAGGTAGGAGGATCGCTTGAGCCCAGGAGTTTGAGGTTGCTGTGAGCTAAGATGACGCCACTGCACTCTAGCCCAGGCGCACACAGTGAGACTCTGTCTCAAAAAAAAAAAAAACAAAACAATAAACTGTGAAGTAAAATTCTCAGGTAAATATAGCCTCTCTATAAAAATAACATTTACAAGTGGCTGAAGAACTATATATCTTTGATTTTTTTTTCCAGAGAAAAAGAATGCTAATTCGGTAATAGGATTACATTTCACCAGCCTAAGAGCTGGAACCAGAGTTATAGAGAGGATGTTAGATTAATACTTAAATCTAAACATTATCTGCTTTCATTGTTCAGATTTTTTTTTTTTGAGACAGAGTCTCGCTCTGTTGCCCAGGTTAGAGTGCCGTGGCATCAGCCTAGCTCACAGCAACCTCAGACTCCTGGGCTTAAGCGATCCTCCTGCGTCAGCCTCCCCAACTAGCTGGGACTACAGGCATGCGCCACCATGCCTTGCTAATTTTTTCTATATATATATTTTTAGCTGTCCAGATCATTTCTTTCTATTTTTTGGTAGAGACGGGGTCTCGCTATTGCTCAGGCTGGTCTTGAACTCCTGACCTTGAGTGATCCACGCGCCTCGGCCTCCCAGAGTGCTTAGGATTACAGGTGTGAGCCACCACGCCCGGCCCATTGTTCAGATTTTCCAGCTTACTGAGTGAAACCCCAGTATGTATTAGGTCTCTAATAATGAAGTTATATATAAAGTTGAGAGCTACAGTTAGGTTACAAAAATCAACAACCCATGCTTGTTCAGAGTACTAGAGTAATTTTTAAATTGAGAACACAATTTTATATAAATACCAATTTTAAAAGCATATATCCTTCAATAGAAAATTTGTCTTACAGAACATTTCCCATATATCCAATGATAAATGTACAAAGAGTTTATATACCACAGCATTATTAAAATGGTAAAAGTTAGAAACAGCCTACATCACTGTAAAATAGGAAGAAAAGTTAAATTATGATCCTAAGCAGTTAATTAAGAACAGCTAACGTGGTGGTGTCCCAGCCCAGTAACACAAGATGGCTGCAGTGGCACTGGGAGGGCAAAGTGGAGAGGATCAAATAGACTGGAGAACGGAGAATGTAGTCCATGCCCCTGAGTCCGCTCCTGGCTGCCACTGGCCCAACAATACACTGGGACCTTGTTTGCTCCCCTGCTGTCAGTCAGCCTATCTGTGCCCAATCTGTGGCCTCCCTTCAGCCCAGGAATCCCACCCAGTTGGAAAAGAATCCCCTCATGATAGCACTGAAGATAGCAGAATGTGAGAGAAAGGGGAACCTCATTTATCTTATTTCCTGGGAACTTAGTCCTCGGAGTGTCAAGATTTCCTCCTAAGAAACTCAGGCAGCTTCTGCTGTCTGTCCTCTTGGCCAGTGTCCAAGTCTTTCCTCAATCAAGGCCCCCTTTTGTTATACCCCTGTCCTTTGTTCCTTCCGTCGATTCCCATGATATGAAAGATTTTGCCAACCTGCCAAAAGATGATATTTTTTCCTTTCCAAATTCACAAAGCCTTTCATAACTGAGTAGACACTAAAATCAGTGACCTAAAGGTTGGGGACATCATGAGTTCAAAGTGCAGTGAGCATGTCAGGCACTGTGCTAAATATTTTACATGAATTAACTTTTTTTAGATTAAAGCCAGTGAAATTTAGCAGTGGGGGGTTGTATACCAAGTTTAGTGACACTAATGTTAATAAGTTCTGATAACCCACTACCATTGGACCAGCCTGACTTACTTAATTCTTAAAACAATCCCATAAGGTAGGTTTTTTCTCCATTTTACAGAAAAGGAAATAATATTCTCAAGGTCATGTAGTAAGTGGCAGAACCACATATAAAAAGTGTTTGTATGAAAATGCATAGAAAATGATCTGGAAAGTTATTTCTGGAAGATGGAGAATGATGAACAAGAATTTTCATTTTTATTCTATATTGTTTGACTTTTTGTTACAAGCATGTAGTTTTCTTGTAATTTTGTAAAAATTTTTCTCAAAAAATAGGAAAAGAAAGAAAATTACATGCTACCAGTCCTTTAATGTAAAATGTTCTAGGGTGGCGGTTCCCAACCTTTTTGGCACCAGGGAACTGGTTTCATGGAAGACAGTTTTTCCATGGACCGAGGGCTGGGGGGGATGGGGTGTCGTGGATTGGGGGAGGTGGTGCGGAGCTCAGGTGGTGATACTCCGTCCATTTCCTAACAGGCCACGGACTGGTATTGGGCCTTGGCCCAGGGATTGGGAACCGCAGTTCTAGGGGATTTCCCTCAGAATGTAAAGGTGAATTATGGCTCCAAAGTAGATTTCTAAAGTGGAAATTACCTGTTAGCATTATTCACTTAAAATCTGTAGAAGGGACCGGGCAGGGCGCAGTGGCTCACGCCTGTAATCCTAGCACTCTGGGAGGCTGAGGCGGGTGGATCATTTGAGCTCAGGGGTTCAAGACCAGCCTGAGCAAGAGCGAGACCCCATCTCTACTAAAAATAGAAAGAAATTAGCTGGACAACTAAAAATATATAGAAAAAATTAGCCGGGCGTGGTGGCGCATGCTTGTAGTCCCAGCTACTCGAGAG